AGAAGTGACGAGTAGAAAGGTCCTTAGCTCCCCAGTGGCACGGCGGTATGTCTGCGGACTTACAACGCTATAATCCGGGTCTCGATACCCGTGGTGGGCAGAACACAGATAGTCCGTTGTGTAGCTTTGTGCTTCATTACAAACAAACAAAAGTCCTTACTGCAGACGACCACACTTTTCCAAATTCATTAACCGCAGAAATTGTTTTAAGGTTTCAAGGATTTTATGAAGTTGAGTAACAAGACTAGTTCTTTAACTGATAAAACACCAACCAGAATTAATGAAATGTATGCGAAAGGTAGCGTTAAATTCTAACGTCCCCCTTGTTGTCTTTCCGAAATCGCTGAAATGCTTTGAATTTGCTTTTTCCTTTTATATTTTTAAAACGTTTTCGTTAAAATTATGAAGAGCTTTTTGTTTCTAAACTTCAAAGATATATTAAACAACTTAATAAGAAAACAGCAAAACGGCCGTTTCTAGTTACACGTTTTCTTACTACCCATAAATTTTGAAAATATGAAAAGTTTTTTTTTAAAAGATTCATTTCATGCTGTTTCTGAATTTACTGTTACGTCTCCGATCGTTAGTTGATTTTCCGTAACTTCGTTCCCACGAAACTTTAGCGACACAAGTCCTTTCTTAATAACACTGGTTTATTCTATCCCGTTCCTTCGTGAATGCCCTAGCATTTACTAGATATAGGGTAGTCTGGTATATATATAAGAGGGTGACAACGTGACGGGAATAATGTGTGTAGGTAGTGAGTAATTGAACTGAAGTCGGAAAGTATTGTTGAAGTTAACGTTCGTTGTTATAGCGTTTGTTAGAGAGCGACTGTTGAAAATAAGTGTATCGGTAAAGTTATATTCAGAAATTGGCTTCTTAAAACAGTAATGTTGCGTCAGCGAGGTCACGTGACTAGTGTCACGCCACCTAATTTCTAGAACTGAAGAGTGTCCTTTCATTCATTTACTTATAGTTTTTTAGTTAGTTGAAAAGTTGTTGTTTGTTTTTGAAGTTAAGCACAAAGCTACACAATGGGCTATCTGTGCTCTGCCCACCAGAAAGCCGGTTTCTAGCGTTGTAAGTCCGCAGACATGCCGCTGTGCCACTGGGGGAGGGGCTAGTTGAAAAGAAGAACGACATTACTTACGTTATTAATACATCAGGCATTTACGTTTAGAAGAAGGAATTCCTTCAATTATCTAAAATATTTTCATACTAAGATGTATATATTTCACAATTTTGAACGTTACGTTTCTAAATTTTATATCTCATTGTGTCAGATTATTTCTTTTGGCAAAAAACAACAACAACAAATACACGAAATTTTTCCTCCTTTTCTCCAAAACTATTTCGCACGGTTCATCAGTTAAAACTATTAGGTGAACTTAAGTAGTTTTTTAGGTCCTAGTTTGCACTTCTTTTCGGTACTAAAAACAAAAAGAGAATTATTTTGTGGTTGATGAGTGAAGTGTCGTTTCAGTTCCGTGACTTTAATGAGAATTCTTATCTTTCTATTTTTATAAAAGCATATATAAACACATGTGCATGAGTAATAGGCCTATTATAATAGGTCTCGGTACGACATACATCACCTTTACAGATTCGTTCTAAGTGGCTTCAGGATAAACATTAGCTTGAACGTCCCTCTGTGAAACCTGGGTAGTTTGCCCAAGGCTAGTCTGTGTAACTGGTGTAGACACATACGGAGTGGATGTAATACTGTCTCGTGATCTATATCGCCATTTTGTAATCAAAGTATATATTATTGTTGTTGATATATTCGTTCTAGCTTGCGTTCACGAAGCCTTCAGGCAATTGTCAACATGAAGCTTAGAAAAACTCTAACTTAAACAATAACCTGCTACATACCAAACTGCTAAAAGTATGGAAGAGTTCTTTAGATGCTGCTATATTTCAAACGTTATTACATCTTTCTGACAGGATGAATTCAGAATTTATTAAGTGTTCCAGATTTCATTTCTCAATCTCGAATACCGTCTAGCATTCACTGTGTTTTGTAAATATGCCTGAGTTCCAGATGCTATTGAGCTGTATACCGAGCAGTAGTATATCATTCCTAAATATCCTAGATAAACTGAGGCAGTTAAATACTTCTGTTCACTTATACTTATGATGAACATGTGTAGAAATGATAAATATTCTAAAGTCACTATGTGTTTACACACTATAAGAAGTTCTGTAGTGTTAACTATTCTAAAGTCACTATGTGTTTACACACTATAAGAAGTTCATAAACACAGTAATTTTAGAATATTTGAGATAGAATATTTAACACTACAGATCTTCTTATGGTGTATAAACACATAGTGACTTTAGAATAGTTAACACTACAGGCCTTCTTATAGTGTGTAAACACATAGTGACTTTAGAATAGTTAACACTACAACACTATAAGAAGTTCTGTAGTAAAGTACAACAATTAATATTCACCAAACTGAGTTTCATACTGGAATTCACTTCTAAACATGGGCTGATTCTCCACCCTTTTTCTTTTGCACGAATCGGTTACAACAAGTAAATAGTAGGTTATAAATATTCTGTTTGATAAAATGTTTTTAGTTGAAAATTTACTTGTTTGTTTGATGTTAAGCTTAAAGATACACAATGGGTTAACTGTGCCCTGTCCACCACGGGTATCGAAACCGGATTTTTACTGTTGTATGCCTGCCAATTTGCCGCTGAGCTACTGGGGGACCCTTCGAAGATGAAATATAACCATTGATGTATGCACGTGCCTATCTAAAGACCAGCAAATGGTCGTACTGAATTAATATCCACTATAATACAACAAACATGTTCGGATACAGATACGGAATATGTTAGCAGCATATACTGGTCACATTGTAAATTCATTTAGATAATCCTGGCTTCTATCTATAGCGTGACATCCCGCATACCTCAGTATAAGAAAGACGAGGTTATATTTTACAAATATTACTCTTCTGTATTTCACAGTGATAGCGTCTGTGTTTATTTCATATGACAAATGAATAAGAAATTATCGTCTTATCTATATTTCCTGAATACGTACAATCAGGAGTGGACATGTGAAAAAGTGTTAATTTTTAGCCGCGGCATAACGGCTCATAGCACGGCTCTAATTTTTTTTTTTTTTTTAAGTACAAACTTTTAGCTCACATAGCTCCGTCATCACTTGACCGATTTGTGATCTAATTATTCCTTTGGACTCAGGAGGTCAAACCCTTTCGATTAATGTATTTAATCACACCCAAGGTTTCATAGATTAATTTACTATAGTCCTGCTTAAAATAATTTCAATTTGAGAGTAGGTTGTAGAGATCCTGACGAGTAATAAAATCGAATATAGTATACGCGCATAAAAATATAACTAATAAAAAGAGGAAAAGGTCTTATAGATTAATTTATTCTAATCCTGCCTAAACTTATTACAAGTTCCGCGGCTACTGAATATTCCCTATTGTTTTTTTTTTACATTATGAGTAAATTTTCATATGAGAGAACAGAAAGATTGTGATTAAATGTAAAATGTTCCCGATAAAACAACAACAACAAAACAGGTTAATAACGATAAAATTTCCTGGAAACCTACTCAGTATTTAACATACCAAGAAAGCATCAAGAGAAGAAAAAGTTAGGCTATTGTCGCTCCAACAAGTAGTCATTTTAATTAGCCCCCAGTGGCAAAGCGTTATGTCTGCGGACTTACAACGCTAGAAATCGGGTTTCGATACCCGTCGTGGGCAGAGCACAGATAGCCTATTGTGTAGCTTTGTGCTTAACTACAAACAAACGAAAACGAAACATTTTAATTGTATTTAAAACATCGCCAAATCACCAAACTCAACACGTAGTTATTTAAAACATTGTCAAATCAACAATCTGAGCAATATAAAACCAGGAAGGAATCTGCTATTTGAACTTTACACTCAATAAGAGTAAAAAAAACTTGTATTCGAAAAATAACTTAGGTTACGGAGTCTACTAATAGAAAGAGTGTATTGTAAGCATGTATGAAATATTTCGTAACATATCCCTATTTGGATGAAAACCTATGACTTGAAGAATGTCTTGAGAACACAGGACAAAAAACAAAACAAAAAAAACAAACAAGAAACGTTCGATAGTTTAATACTGTTTGCTTAGTGCGAATGATGACAATTGATCACCTCTTAGCGTGACAGCAGCTGTCACTAGATGGCACCATTTGGAACACAAATGTTGCCATGGTAACGTTTTTCAAGCTTTAAGCTGGTTGGTCGAGCTTTGAAAAAATGTTGGCGAAATGAAAAGCTTATACAATGAAGACAAAATGAATCAATTTTAATCGTTAGTGGGCGTGACACCATGGCAATTTATAAAGTAAACATTCCCGCCATTTATAGGAAAACAATTTTAGTTCTCCAGTTGAAAACTACTACTACCTGCACGAACATTACTATTTAGTGTCGTTATAAGATCGATGTAGTTTTATACCTACAACTATAGGCCTTTATTTCCGCGAATCATCTAGCAACACAGAGAGGCGAGTAGAATAAGATTCAGTGGCACTTACTTAAATATTTCAAAAGGTCTCAAGAGTTCCTTTGGGGGGGGGGGATTTTTGAACACGACAAAGCTCTACGTCGTACCACCCTGTATTTGGTTATGCAAACAAAATTTTCGTGTCTAATGTCATTTCGGAGTTTGGCTTTGAACGAACAGTACAAAAGGAAAAAATTACATTAGTCATTAATTTTTACCGCACGTGACACAATGTTGAAGCTGGAGGTATTCGGGTTTTCCAATAAATAATATTGTTAGTTTTTGTCGCGGTGCATTTATAGTACGAAGTTCCTTCCACAAAGTCGATAGTGTTCCACTGTCTGTTTAATTAATATTTTGTTTGATTATTACATCATTGATTTAACTTTGGGTAACGGACCCAAATCTAAATTATAATCATTATTATTGCATGTATATATATACATATAAGGGAAACAATAAGTCGGAGCCTGAACTTTTGAACTTCAATCAAAGTGTTTTAATTATACATTTACTTCATGTTTGGACTAAAATTTACACGAAGCACATATAGATATTGTTTAGCTAAAGTACTTTTTCTATAAAATGGGCTCTTACATATAAACATGAACCTCGGCACATATTGGCTTAACTCATACCCCTTAGTTAACTGTACGAAGTGGAAAACTCAGTAGATAGATTGATTATACAATAAGCAACGTCTTGTAATTAAGCTAGATTTATAACACACACACATTCACAACGTGCTGTAACTTAGAGCATCTTTATTAGCAGTGTGAAGATGTATCTTTCGGAGCACATTGTAAAGAATGTGTTAAGTGCTAACCCGACTTATCCGAGGTTTTGATTGGAGGGAAGAAATATAATGCTTCCAACTTTAAAGTCAGTCATTATTTACACAATTCATTAATATTTGAGGATCATTCCTAAATGAGTCATATTTAAGGTTCTCACATAAAGCAGTAATTTGTTTTATGGCTTTCGCGCCTCATGAACATAGCAGACTAAGACAGGCTTAATTTTATTATCACCTGTGACAATACCTAGAAAAACAAAACAGGATATTAAATGCATTTTTTATTATTATAAACCACTTCGAAACTGCTGCTGTAACAGTCTTCTTAGTTTATTTTTCTACGTATATAAATTTGTTTTTTGTTTTTGTTCTTTTCGTAAGGAATAAAAACTTCCAGCCAATCATTACTCAGTATAGAGGCATTGACGCACTTCCGTTAATGAAACGTAGAATAATCTAGCAACAGATGCAACAGAAGACAAAACCATTACTGGAAGAGAACACAAGTATTTAACTGTTTCTAACTTAATAGTTTCTTCTAAGTTTTCAGTTACAAAACTCAAGAACTTTTAAGTTAAAAGAAATAGTAAATATGTTTAAAACTACATAGTTTAAAATGAATAACACAAATAATTTTTTTAATCTTGAATTTCTTTGAAGGAGCTGGCCTAAATAAAGATCAATACATTGCTAGCTATTCCGACATGTAGAAAACTTTGTTCTTCTTGTAGTTTCAAGTTATGCGGGCTGAAATGTTAAGATTCCAAAAAATACGGTGTTAATTGAAAAAAAAACGACTTCTAGATTTATGATGGTGTGAATCATAAACAACGTTTCCATTAAATTAAATTAGAAGTGATGAAATGGCAGGAAAAATCCTATTTAAACCTCTCACATTAAACGTTTCTACAGATAGTCGTTCTCTGAAAATTTAGTTGTGATCAGAAACTCCCACCTTACAGAATGGCAAAACATTTAACGAACAAATTAAGCAAAATGCTAAAACAAACAGTTTATGTCTTCATGTTGAGATCATTCATACGCATATTCTATAAATACAGATAGCTCATTCTCGTGTTCGTTATTATTGTACCAATCTGCGTGTGACATAAACGCAAATAGCGTCAACCATTGTCTTTGGGGAATAAAGTGTTTACAGCTTTGAGTTCTATCTTTCATACAGTTTTGATGCATACTATTTAAAGTGATGGCGGCGATGAACTAACTCACGCGTCCCTTGTGACCACTATACTCCTGTTTATTTGTGAAGTTTCAGGAACATTTTTAGCATTCATTTATTTCATATTTTAGTCAGGTCACCCAGTTCCACGAAGATCTCTCACAGACAACAACTGTGGTCACTACTTGTCCAGTACAACAACCTCGGATTTGGAGTCTTATAAGATGTCAGTGTTGCTTCGCGAATAAACCAAACAGTGGCTAAAGAAACATTACAATGATAAAAGTAATATATTCGTGCTATTATCATATAAAATTGAAAATGGAAATTTCAATTTGTTTGGTTTTCCAAACAAATGGCAATTAGCGCCCCTACAGTATTGTATATGGTAATGCGTTACATAATTTTATTTATAGAGTATATATTTGTAGAATGTGTGGACATGTGCTTTTCTTTAAGCGTTTGTATATATATATATATTGTATATATTTTTTTCTTCCTTAAGTTCTCAAATAAGCCCAGAATACATGAACCAGCCATTAAAGAACTACTTCGTCAAGAAAAATTCTCGCTTTGTAGGCGACTTTCAGGATTCGTATTGGACAAGAATGGCGTACGAAGTGGGGGGAACGGTCCCCCTTTTTAGTTTGTACGATTAAAAATGCATCAATATTAGGAAAATGACTCTCATAAAAAGCAGGAGAACGTATAATATTTAATCTAGAACCAACGAGCTTTGATTATATTAAAGAATGAGATTTACACTTTTAATTTACTCTCGTAGTCAGGAATTTTCATAGATATTAGGAAAAGGCCTTACTTCGTAAAAATGTACAATAATGAAAATAATTATAGAAACAAATATACAGGAACTACAAATAATAAGTAATGACAACTATATGGTGAATTTATTAATGGTACAAAACGTTATCACATAAAATACAAAATAGAAGTGAATAAGTTGTATAATATATTAGTATTTTGTATTTGAGCCCTTTGCTTTAAACAGGGCATTACAATTTGTTTTCATGCTGCCACTGTTTTTGGATCCCCCCCACTAAGCCCATTTCAACTTTTTGATTACGTCTTCTTCGAGCAGCTACACATTCTGATTTCTACACGCTTTTCATGTGATATTTCAATCCCATGATTGGAAAAACCCTATTAATACTGGGCATAGTACGACTTCCTATATTTTTATATGATTAATACTGTATTGACATTTTACTAATGGATTGGATGACAACCAATTACAATGTAAATTATCAACAATAAAGGTGTGGCATGCCGTAGTGTTTGCCTTTTATACCTTTTTTCCCTCCTTATCATTTTCAAAATTATTTCCAAAATTGTATTACAGCTTTTGTGAGTTAGTTTATTGAAAAGCATGAGAATTTGTTATCAATAAATTTAAAAAAATCCTTCACTAAGGATAGATAGTACATTAACGAATTTGCTAGAGATGTCATACTTTCAAGTATACATAAGCTTTACATGGCATCATATTGCGACAGACTACGCTAAGTTAAATAATCCAATTTGCTAAATATGTGTGGTTGTGTGTGTATATATATATATAAATCGTAATTTTAAGTTATAAATTAATGAACGTGTATTTGAATATGCTTGTAGAAGAAATGCCGAACTTACATTTAATAACATCTCCACAGAAAGGGAATGCTTTTCTTCTCTCTTCTGTGAAATCTAAAATCTAAAACTCTAACATTTCAAAAATGCTTTGCTATTTCGTATTTGAATTACTGTTGAGATCCCCCCCCCTTTTTTTTTTTACTGTTGGTACGCTCTAATCAAACAGGATACGTTTCCATAACCACAAACATCATCTGGTACATCAGCGGACACTGAACAAACACCTACGACGGGATACATTCTCCTGCTCATCTCACATTTTCTTATCCAAATATTATCTTTCTTCCAATTCAGTGCCTTGAACTTAAGTCAACATATTGAGGAAGTCGTTCCATTAAACGAGTTCAGCCAACATGATACATATCCATTTTTTTTAGCTGTTGTCATAATTTAGATAGAATACTGGGGTCCAGAGCAAATATTTAACTTGTACTACAAACATGCAAGCGTATAACTATACAAAGTTTGATGAGTTGTACTGATGTATACTGCTACTCATCTATTGGATGATTGAATGAGTCCTTTTCTATTGCTTGCTTCTTTTAAAAATGTTTCCAATGTTGAACAATATTTAAAAGTTTTGTCTTTTACTTTTATATCTTTTACACATAACGCAGTAAAACTCAAATAGGTATTACATTTTGTAAATTAATGTTTCTATATTAATTTCTTCATAAGATCTTCGTCAGTTAAAGCGATATTAGAATCTCATAGAATGATCCCTTGGGAAGTAAATAATAATTAACGAAATTCTATCAAAAATGCTTAGTCAATAAAAAGAATGTATAGTGATATTTATTTACTTATTTAAATTTATATTGCAACTTTTAATATGTACTTATGAACAAATACGAACATGGGGGTTAAAAATCATTGATAAGTTTCTAACAGAACTCTAGCACATAGCTGGAAACATTTAATTACTAATCAAAATACATGTGTTGACTGAGTAACTATTTAAAAAAAAAACTTCTATGTTGGAGTATTTTCAATTATCGTTACAATAGCCTAACAACATACGTGGCTGATAAGGTGCTGTGGCTGTTTAGTGTTAATTCCGATAATGTGTGTATAACATTCAGAAAATGCCACCTATATCACTGACAATTCCAATATTCTACTGTTCTTCGTTTTAGTTCAGTTGCTGACGAGACAGAAGTCCTCTGTTTAAACCTAAAACATATTTCACGAGTTAGAGAGATAAATGAAATGTAAAACATTTAAAGTGTGATGTTCTAGGAATATTTACTTTTGCATACCTCATGCTGAGAAAGCAATGGCTTTATTAACTTTTATCAATGAAATCACGCTGCATTTTTGTCATCCGAACACCTGTTTTACTTCCCGCGTTATGTAGAAAACAAAGCATGATGGGAACGCATCCCAAGACACGAACGGAAGATGGTTGTGAGAGGCTAATGAAATTGTACCATTGTTCATTGTTGGAAACTAGTCTTGATAGAAGTCTGCTCGAAAGTTTACACGTATACAGATCTAAATACCAGAAACAAAAATGCATGGCAGCTTTGTCACTCGCATTGAATTATCTGTATAAGTTTTTCGTTGTGTTTCTTATTTTACTTAATTATTTCTAAGGCACCAATTTAATACAACCAAGTTTAACTGCAGTTTTAAATCATTTTTCTTATAATAAAACAGAGTTACTCATTCACATTTTTTCTTTCGCTAATAAGGCACCCAGCGAGTGTTTTCTTACCTCCGTGCACGTGAACTTCTCTGCTTAGAATTTTCCCGACACTGTTAGAGACAAGACACCTGTATACTGAACTGTGGACATCATGCCGATATTCTTCTTGCTTGAAAGGTGTGAACACAAGAGTTCCATCAGTTCGGATGTGACGTAAACCAGGAATATCTTTCACGTCACTTCCGTCTTGATATATCCATCTAATTATTGGTAAAGAGCTTCCTCTTACTAAGCATGGTACCGAAGTTCCGTCTGTGTTCATGAATTTGACAATGGTTGGTGGTTCTTGAATAAACACCAGCCCTCGAGCGTCTTCTCTGTCATTGTGTGAAGCTGTATGAAAAAATATCAAAACAAACACATATTAGGCTAATAATTTTTTATTATCAAGTTTATTTTTGATATAAACAGTAAGGATTAATTTTCAGATCTTTGTTCAGTGAATGTAACAAATTATTACTTGTTTCAAGATTAATTTTCTTAGTTAATAAACACAGAATTTTGCATCAAGGTTTCTTCAACAGATACACTACTAATATAGCGGTTGAGTACGTTATATTAACGCCTGAGTACGTTACATTAAAACGATTTTGGAGCCTTATCATGTGGTCACGTACTGTCACGATCTATCTAACGGCCCTGCAGATTGACAATAGCCCTGAAGCAAAGTTATCCTCGCAGTAAGATTGTCGTGTCAAAAGCACAATACTAGTCCGTATATATTTTTCGTAAGTTATCTAGTGTACGAAAACGACAGTTTTTCAGTGCCCGTTTCATCGGTCCGATCGCACAGAAATCAGGCTACTTTACCTTCCCATGGAATGGTATAATACCCTTTTTCTTTTCCAGCTGCTTTAGGTAGGCAACGATTGAGCACACGACTGGGGGGTATGACCTGTGGAAGGCTTTTTCTGGATGGTTCTGGTGCTCCACGTTCATCCATATTCCATTGTTTTCCAATGTCATTAAATACAGGGGATATCCACGTCTTCGAAATTCAAAATCTCTGACCTGAGCACGTCTCTATGATATGCGTGTACGAATATTTTGCGTCAAAAAAGGCTTTTATATACGCTTCCCAAAAGCGACCAATTTGTGGTGGTATTAAACCACGTCAAAATGTAATTTCTGGTACATTCCATTCCACTCTGACTTTATAGCGACAGTGGTTGTACCGTGACTTGCTGATTTGCGTATTCAAAACCGTTTTAATGTTACTTACTTAACCCTCTGTATTCGGTAGTGTGTCTGTAGTGTGAAATTAGCATATATATTGGCGAAATACTGGGTATATGTATATATGTGCATAACCATCCTTAATTATTCAACTTTGTGTATTTATACAAACTGTATTCCTTTATTATCGAATGCCACTGAATACACCATTTGGAGCCATACATTTTCCAACTCTTAGTCTTCTCTTCCCATATACAGGCCCTTGCATGGCCAGGTTGTTAGGGCACTCGACTCGTAATCTGAGGGTCGCGGGTTCGAATCTCCGTCACACCAAACATGCTCGCCCTTTCAGCCGTTGGGGCGTTATAATGTGACGGTCAATCCCACTATTCCTTGGTAAAAGAGTAGACCAAGAATTGGCGGTGGGTGGTGATGACTAGCTGCCTTCCCTCTAGTCTTACACTGCTAAACTAGGGACGGCTAGTGAAGATAGCCCTCGTGTAGCTTTGCGCGAAATTAAAATAAAACAACAACAAAAAAACAAACAAACTCTTCTCTTATAGTGCATTCACAAGCTCAAAGTGGAGAGAACGTGTCTTTTCGGCAACGGTACTCGAACCAGGAATCTTCTGATTCACAATTAAGGCATAGCAAGAAATAAGACACACCCGAGCTTTTATTTCTTTGTGCTGTATAAAAAAGGTAATTATAAATAGAAGAACGAATTACAAATAACTTTTTATTGATTAACTTACTTCGTACATCGAAACGTTCCTGAACGAAACGCCATGGCTACCCAAAGATTAAAACAATTTGAAATTAACGAGTTAAAGGGTTTAAAAGTAATGTCTTCAAATCCGATTTTAAGCTAAGAATTTACTTGCCTCGAATGACTTAAAATACCATTACCAAATCCGAATAAACTTTAAACCAATATGTGTCATTAAGCTCTTTTTTGATGATTAAAACTATATCGTAATCTTCTTTCCAAGACAGAATATGAAAATAGTTTTTTCAAGCTGAGTTTGATTAAAAACATGGCGTGCACCGTCCCTGTGGAAGAACTCTGTATTTTGGAGCTAGCGAGCCGGTTTAGAATTCGTGCGATACCTTTCATTATCACCCTCTCTTACACACACACACGAACACACTTTAAGCTGTGAATGCATTGTAATAATGAAAGTTAATCCTTTAGTGTGATCCCCCCAGTGACACAGCGGTATGTCTGCGGACTTACAACGCAAGAAACCGGGTTTCGATACCCGTGATGGGCAGAGCACAGATACCACATTGTGTAGCTTTGTGCATAATTACTAACAAATAAACAAACCCTTAGTGTGAAAGGTGGGTTGTAGGGTGAAGCTGACTGACTGTCCTCCCTCTGGTCAGTAGTACAAATTTAGGGACTGTGCCATATAATGTCAGAAGCTTTGCGATAAATGCAAAATACATTTTTCAAGTCATAACACCATGAATTAATTTATAAAATAAACTTTCGATTGCAAATTTTGAATTAAACTCTGCGAAACTGAAAAACGTTGTTATTAATAAAGAAATTTAGGTACATAAAATTGAAAACCTAGGAATATACAGTTTATTGAAACCTTTCCTCTTTTGAGCAGTTTAAGGTGATAATTGTTATCACGTGAATTACAATTTGTTTTCTTATTTTCTTCAAATAAAAAACTGAAGATAATAGTAGATTTACTTCAGGAATACTTTATTTACATGGAGTAAAGATATTAGTCACAGGCCACATACCAAAGTTTTTGTTTACATGGAGTAAAGATATTAGTCACAGGCCACATACCAAAGTTTTTGTTTACATGGAGTAAAGATATTAGTCACAGACGACATACCAAAGTTTTTGTGTACATGGAGTAAAGATATTAGTCACAGGCCAGATACCAAAATTGTTGTTTACATGGAGCAAATATATTAGTCACAGGCCACATACCAAAGTTTTTGTTTACATGGAGTAAAGATATTAGTCACAGACGACATACCAAAGTTTTTGTTTACATGGAGTAAAGATATTAGTCACAGGCCACATACCACAGTTTTTGTTTACATGGAGTAAAGATATTAGTCATAGGCCACATACCAAAGTTTTTGTTTTTATATAGTTTAAGATTCTGCTAAAGGTCATATACCTAAATTTTGTTTTTACGTTGTGTAAAGGTTCTCCTCGGGATTATATTTCTAAAATATGTTTTCACGTAAAGATTCGCTTGATGCCACATACTCAAATTTTCAGGTGTGAAGATTTTAATCTGATCATATACCTAAAGAATGTGTTTTTACATGGTGTAAAGGTTATATTTGAGGTCATATACCTAAATTTTCAGTTTTTTTTGTTTTATTTTACGTTATGTAAATATTTTGTTCAGAGATCAAATTTCAACGTTTCTGTTTTACATGGAGTAAAGATATTGGTCGGAGGCCATATATCAAAGTTTCTGTTTTACATGGAGTAAAGATGGTGTTTCATAGAGTTCACACCAGATTAGAATTATTATTGCACGAGTCAAATGTTCTACAGATCGATATATATTTACCTTACGACTTCTACTATTCTACGTTACTGATCAGACCATTACTGATCATTATTGGAGTTTATTAAAGACCACCAATACTTGCTTGATGAGAGGCCATGGGGCTGTTTTAATTACGGTTAAACGGTACATGTTGTTAGTTAAATATTTGTCATTTGTAAATGATCAACAACTCTTGCAATAATTGCGGACTTTTCGTGTATTTAGTTTTTCAAAAATATCGGGTTAATCGATCTGAAATTCTAGTGGTACCACAAGGTATAACTTTATCCACGTGTTGTCGGAAAGTAACTAAAGAAAGAAATCGGATCAGATAGACGAGGCACGACCTTTAAAGTTAACACACGGAGAGGAAGTCTAAAGTATTCGGTTTTAAACAGAAGGTTTCACAGAAGTTACTGTCATTTAAATATTGAAACGTCATTTACAAAGTAGGTAGTGTAATCGATACGATACACTGAGAATGTCAGCTAATTTGGTACTGTGTTTCATATTAAATCTGGAGCCGTATTTGAAATTCTTGGCTGGCTATGTATACTTACATCAATATAACCAGAGTTAGGTGTGTTCGACAGAATAAAGTGCTTAAAAACTAGTTAATAATTATAATACTAAATATCATGTTTTCTGACAAACCTCTTACGTCTAAGGTAGATTGTAGTAGCTCATACTGAGAAATGAATGTGAATGAGAAGCGATTTGGTACATATTTATTTTAGAAAAAAACTAAGTTTTGATTTTACTCGTATAAAAGTTGACATGTAGTAGATTGTCAGGAGTTATATTACTGATAAATTAAACCAATATGTAGATTATCAGAAGTTAAATTACTTATAAAATGCACCAATATGTAGATTATCAGGAGTTAAATTACTTATAAATTAAACCAATATGTAGATTATCAGAAGTTAAATTACTTATAAATTATACCAACATGTAGATTATCAGGAGTTAAATTACTTATAAATTAAACCAATATGTATATTTTCAGAAGTTAAATTACTGATAAATTAAACCAATATGTAGATTATCAGGAGTTAAGTTACTGGTAAATTAAACCAACACGTAGATTCTCAGGAGTTAAGTTACTGATAAATTAAACCAACATTTGTCTGTTTTCCAAACTACTTAAATAACCGAATTCCCTCTTTTGTGGTCTATCTTATGCTGATAACAAATTCAAATCTCTTTCAGTAATCACAGTTTCAATCACGTTTAGGTAGTTTAAGCATTTTTTCTGCAATAAAATCATCAGGGTTTTTTTTATTAATATTTACAAATTCACATCTCGCACGTGCAGAATATCATAAGCTCGTTTAACTTCTCCAGTTCCTATCGTTTTGGATACACCACAATACAGTAACGTGAAAACCTGCTACTTCAAAATCATTAACATTGCCAGACGCTATTGCATTGTATTAATATCGTATTTACGTGTAAAAAAAAAGTATTGGATTTTAATATCACAAAGCTTTTAATTCCCGTAAAATATGTTCGTGAAAAACGAACTCATTACATCTGGAATAAGAATTTTAAAATTGGATTTGAATATCACAAAGCTTTTAATTCCCGTAAAATATGTTCGTGAAAAACGAACTCATAACATCTGGAATAGAATTTTAAAATTTAACAAATATATTCGATCCCTTTTTCTTCCTAAACCAAATAAATCTGAAATATAAATATTTATTACACATTTGATAAGTAACTATAGCTATATAAGATCGAAGAGAGAAAAAATGTGTCGATTCCAAGAATGATACACTAAACTCGGAAAATTCGCCAGTAGGTACACCATTGCAATATTTAAAAAAATCAAACAGTTTCTGTGTCAGCCTTTTAGAGGTTTTTTTTGCGTGAAAAATATCTGCCTATGAAACAATATTTTTTTGTAAAAATCGCACTGTCTTTGTGTGACGGTATTGAGATCCTATAAGCGCGTGACTGCTAGAGATATTGTTTGTTTGTAATTAAGCACAAAGCTACACAATGGGCTATCTGTGCTCTGCCCACCACAGATATCGAAACCCGGATTCTAGCGTAGTAAGTCCGCAGACACACCGCTGTGCCACTGGGGGCTGCTAGAGATAATTCATTAAATAAATTTATAAAAAGCTTTAATATAGTTTTATATTAATCGTTCGAGTAGCAACTACAAAACCGTGTGCGCATGACTGGAACAACATTCCATTTTTTAAATTTTACATCGTGC